CACAGCACTAACACACTGCTTGTTTGTTCTTCAGCCTCCCTGCTGTAAAACACTGGATGGTGACCTAAATCTCAGTTAGCGTGAGACTTCAGGACCCATTATTTTTGATCCTTCAGTTAATGCTTGCACCCCTCCCCACCTTGCCATTCTCACATGATTTTTTCCTTTCCACCACAGTTTCCTTCCTACCTACATTTTTCTTTCCATTCTTCTCTTTCTCTCTGAGGCCTGGTTGTTTTCTTTCATTATTTGTTATTACTAGGCTTTATTTTATTATTTTTTTTATTTTTGGCCATTAGCCTATTCTGTTCATTTTTATCCTATAATTTATTTTCTTTCTGTTTCCCTGACGACTTCTGTGTGTTGTTGTTATTGTTGTTATCGTTGTCAGTCTCCACGGTAACCGCTCGCGTGTCGTCATGCCGTTTCCTGGCACATGGTAAGTGTGTGTATGTACGGCTTCATTCCTGAACCAACCCACAAACTCCAAACTCAACCTCCCCCCGCCACCCCACCCCACCCCACCCCCACACCCGCCGCCTGCTAAATCACACCCAGCTCTCTCTGGATCAGCGACATTCAGCTGACCACTGTGGTCTTTCGCCTGTTTTTGTTTAGCTATAGCTTATGCTGCCAGGCCAGTAAATGGTTTCATCAGAAATTTTATTTCGTTAATGTTTATTATTATTTTATTCCCCCCACCCCTCCTTACCCCAGATGTAATCAGTCAGACAAGACATGTTCAGTTTCTGAAGTTTGCTGCTTCGGTTTTGCGCTGAAGCTATGAGGCTAAGTGCCCCTTTTAGTGGGCTCGCCTAGAGAACAGTGCATCCCCTACACTTATACAGCATGCAGCAACATGGGTCCTGTGAAATCAACAGAGTGTGTATCATCCCCATTCAAAAAAAAACTTTCGGGTAGATTTTAAAGTTATTCTTATTTAGTTTTTACAGGCCTAAATGACTTAAAGCACCTGCATACTTAACAGAATAGCTACCTGTTTGTGTTCAGACGTGTTCTTCTGTAAACTGCAGAAAATCTGGAGAAGCCTCTTTCTATTATTATTATTATTATTATTATTATTATTATAAGCTATATCTGTTTATTATCTATTGTTGTTTTGTTGTTGTTGTTGTGATTATTATTATTATTATTATCATTATTATTATTATCACCATTATTATTATTATTATTATTATTATTATTATTATTATACACTGTGGAGATTGTTACCATCATAAGACCATAATTAGGCTGTCCAGTTTGGTACATAAATACATACAAGAAGTATTTTAAAACTTCTTTTTAGTTTAGCTTTTATTTAAGATAATTTTTTTTGTCTTTTATTCGTCTTTTCACTTTACTTTCTATGTTATTTCACTTGATTATATGTAGTAGTAGTAGTAGTAGTAGTAATAATAATAATAATAATAATAATAAGTAATTATTTTAAAATTATCTTATTTACTAGAGAGAATTATTATTATTAGTTTATATTGTTATAATTATTATTACTATTATTATACTTGCAATCAGCATTAAATTAATTAATTTAAAAATAAATAAATTATAACAATATAACATTTTTAAGTGAAATAACCATAGAAAGTAAAGTGAATTTTGTTTACATTATTAAATAGCCTTATGTAATTAGCATTGTGCAGACTGCACCCCTGAATCTTCACATACTTGTTAAGTAGTCTCAAATAGACTCTGTATCAATGAGGGTCTCTAAGCTAGCTGAGTGTGTGACCAAAGACGTGAACTAATGAGGTAAAAAAGTGATGATTTAGTTGGGCAGTTTGAAAGATGTGACTGTAAGCTTCCACTGCATAGCGACATTAGCCTCATAGCTCCAGTGCTAAAACTAAAGAAGCAGACTTCAGACATCAAACACGTCTTGGCTGATCGACAACATCTGCAGTAATGGAGGCAAACTGTAAATCTGATTTTCGGCCAAACGATCGCTCGAACTCAGTGGGGCATCCCACAGTCTTGTGTTGTGGATCCGCACCTCAGCTGTTAGCAGCCTCGCACATTAGGCTGCTCCCGCAGGCCCACTGTGATGTTTTATTCAATAGAGCAGAGGATCTCGAGGAAAAAGGAAAAAAAAAAGAATCTTTATTAAATTACAATCATGAGTCTCATGTCTAGAACACCCGCCAAGGACCACAGGCTACTGACAGAAATGATCTGTTCTCCTCCATCTCCTTCTGTTCTTCTCTTTCTCTCTCTCTCTCTCTCTCTCTCTCTCTCTCTCTCTCTCTCTCTCTCTCTCTCTCTCTCTCGCTCTCTCTCTCTCAGCCCCCCCTTCTCTTTCTCATCACCATTAACACATAATCACTTCTCCCCCGCATTGACACGGCTGATAAGATTTTTCCACTAAATCTTTCCATTCCACCTCCCTCCCTCCATCCATCCATCTATCCATCCCTCCTGTCGTCCTAATGAGCCCTGCCCAACAACTCGAGCCTATTCATTCCCCCCAAAGACACATTTTTGGATCATTTTAAGCATTGCACCATCTATCTGCCTGCCTCTGCGAACCAAGAAGCCTTTGTAGATGTTGATTGTTGTGTAGGATGTAGGCCTGTCATGATCATTAGATGCCATGTAAATAATTGCGATTAACAATTTCATTGTCTTTTTTTTTTTGTTTTGTTTTTTTTGTTTGAAACTGTTACAGCACAAGCCTAAAATGGCTAAACTGGCTAATCAACCATCTTGCTTGTTAGCTTCCGGTACTGGAAGTTCCCAACTGATGATAGAAACAGCTCAAAAAAACAAATAATACTCAACGCTGCCCTCTAAAGGTGCTAACAACCATCAAATTAACAAACATTACTCACTGCTGCCCTCTAAAGGTGTTATTTACAAGCATCAAATAAACAAACATTACTCACTGCTGCCCTCTAAAGGTGTTACTTACAAGCATCAAATAAACAAACATTACTCACTGCTGCCCTCTAAAGGCGTTATTTACAAACATCAAGTAAACAAACATTACTCACTGCTGCCCTCTAAAGGCGTTATTTACAAACATCAAGTAAACAAACATTACTCACTGCTGCCCTCTAAAGGCGTTATTTACAAACATCAAGTAAACAAACATTACTCACCGCTGCCCTCTAAAGGTGCTGTAGCACCTGCCAGAAGTTATAATAGACTATTGTCGATTAAGACTCGTGAAATGTCTTCAAAGCATTTTATTCTTTCTTTCATTCACATGAATTTGCCCTAAACTAACGGACCCAGTTCACATTGTTTTTTGTGACGTACTGAAAATGAACAACTATGGAAAATAATTGCAGTCAGCTTAAATAATTGCGATCTGGCCATTATGCAATAATTATGACAGGCCTACTAGAATGCAACTTAATTTATGCCCCCCCCAACACAGACACGCAAACACAGACACACAGATATACACACACACACACACACACACACACACACACACACACACACACACACAGACTGAAATTGTTTCTCAGGCGATATTGTTCCCCTTATATTCATGTGGGGATATTTGTTTATTTTTTTCTTTCTTTTTGGCTAAACCCGAAGCTTGTTTTTGATCTTTATGTGCGTGTGTGTGTGTGTGTATGTGTGAGTGTGTGCGTTTGCGTGTGTGATAATGGTGTTTGCATATTGGTCTTTAAGTGTGTGACGGATCAGTGTCAATGCCTGCCAGTGTTTGGCCTTCATGATTTGATTTGTTGTGTCATGTGGCATATGCATCTCTCTCTCTCTCTCTCTCTCTCTCTCTCTCTCTCTCTCTCTCTCTCTGTCTCTGTCTGTCTGTCTGTCTGTCTGTCTGCTTTCTCTTTTTCCTCCTCACCTTTTCTTAGTATTCTTTCTTTTTCTTTTTTTTCTTTCTTTCGTTTCCTTCCATCTTGTGCTCTCTCCCTTTTTTCTTTTTCTTTTTTTTGTCATTCCTTTTTTTTTTTCTTCCTTCCATCTCTTGCCACTCAGGGTCTGTCAGCAAGAAGTCACAGGCTTCCTTTGGTTTGATGTACTATTGGGGGGATGTAGTCTTTAGTGTTGCTAAATGGATGGATTTTTCTTTTCTTTCTTGCTCTCATTGTTCATGGCTTTCTTGTTTCTTCTTCCCCTTTTTTCCACTCTTAATGTCCCTTTTCGTTGGATGTTATTTTTTTTCTTGCATCCCTTTCTCTCCACACACCCCCCTCTCTCTCTCTCTCTCTCTCTCTCTCTCTCTCTCTCTCTCTCTCTCTCTCTTTCTTTGTATGAAGCGTTATGAAAGGGTTGAGGTCTGGGCTGCACAGTGTTTTTGATTGGTCCATATGCTGCATCCGATGCTTGCTGATTGGCTGGTGTATGCTCATTCCTGGTCATGTGACGAACCGTAATTGGCTGAATGTAATCTTTTGCTGAATGGTGTGCACACTCTCTCTTACGAATCTCATCATGTCTGAACTCTTGTTCTCTCTTCTCTCCCATTTTTAGAGATGGAATGCACTGTTTTTTACCTTTTTGCTTTGACACAGATTTATTTCTGGGTCTTTGTGTGTTTTACTTTCTTTATTCGTTTGTTTATTGATCTGTGTTTGATGATCATTGGGGATGCTGTGCATGATGGGAAGATTTTTTTAAAGCAATATAAGGGAATATCATTGAGCTCACAATTTCTGCCTTACTACTCCTCAACTGACGACAGTTGTCTCATACCTGCCCCGAGGAAATGTCCAGAGTTTCACTTACTCCCCTTTAATTGATCTTTATGTATAATGTGTACAATCTAGCAGTAACTGTCTTTATTTTACAAATGGAAAAAAAACCCTTTCATTACTGAAGCTTTTGAACTGTGGGCAGAATTCCCATCATAACTACAAGTGCATGGTGCCAATGGAATAATTTATAAAGTCATGAAAAATGTATTTAAGCTAAATAAATCTGTTTAATGCTATTATACATCTCTGAAGTCAGATCAAAGCGGTCACACTGAGCCGTTTTCACTTTCTCTCTCTCCTGGGCAGGTCAACAACGCTACAGCTCGAGTGATGACCAATAAGAAGCTGGTTAGCCCATATGCTAACGGAGAGGGACTTAATGCTCTCCCTTATGGTAAAATAAGCACTCATGGACAACATGAAAAATTTTCTCATACATAAATAAGTACTTGGTGTCAGAGTTTACCATATTACTGTTTAGAATATCATTATTTTCTGTTAGTACTACATTCTGCTGCAGGACAGGTTCTAAGAACTATTCCACCTAGCTTGGCCGAGCATTTTACAGCAATGTCAGATTCATAACAAAATGTCATATTGCCTGGGCATATTCAGTATTTTGCATGCTGGATTGGCATGTTAAGATACCTGCGATAAGCATAATTGTTTGTCACTATAAACACGACTTTAAGACTTGCTTATCTACCTGAGCAGTCTTGCTTTGTACTTAATAAAATCCTTTGGTGCCACAATACTTAGAAAAGGCGGAGCGGAATATAGACGTGCTCTCATGCTGAACTAAATTGAAAACAGTATTACGTAGGTTTGTGTGCATACCTATTCACCCATAGATAGAAAGAAACTTAATACTAAAACACTATTCGGGTGTGATTTAGTTTTACATGTGGTGGTGGGGGTAATGTAATATCTACCAATGTTTCTCAGCGATTCTAGTCCTGTCTGAACGCGCCATATCAGTTATTTTTATGGACTGTGTGCTTCCACAGATTACAGCACCTTTTACGTTCTATGAAACCAACCATAGAAATAACCGCAGGTTATATTACTCTTGTGTGAATCAGCTTCTCAGTAGAAATGCTGTCATGTTCTGTAGAAAAGGAGTTCTTTAAGTATGGAAGCCCTCAAATAAGTGTTTGCTTATGTTGTCTGTAGCTAAAATCAAGCCGATATGTACTGTCCTACCTCATGTACAACTTACACCATTAAATCCTAAAAATTATAAACATAAATAGTGTTATTTTCTGTTGGAGTAGACAGTTAGCTGTGAATTCCCCCAGCTATTAACAATGCTAAAGACACATGACGGACAGCAAAATAGATGGTTTGGCTAAAGGAAAGATTTTCTCAGCTGTATCTGATTGACGTAGCTACAACTAATCTGTGCTGACTAAATGTTGCAGACCTGATGTGTACATGTACCTACAAATAGTGAAAATTTACTCAGATTTCAAAGCAAGTCTTTTTTCTCCTCTGTTGCCCCCCCCCCTTCTCCCCAGTAGCTGGGTGGAAGCTGAGCCCAATGGTGGGAGCGATGTACGGCCCAGAGCTCTACGCAGGTGAGACACTGGGTATGTGATTTCCTACTAGCTACACATATTTTAGCATTGCTGGAACATGTAAATATGGACGTATTTACATACTACTGCAAAAATTCTTGGCAAGTGAATGAATTTTAACCAAACAAAATACACTCACTAAGCTCTTTATTAGAGACACCTGATAGGGCCACTGTTTACTCTCACAACAGCCTCAGTTCTTCATGGCATGGAACCCACAACATGTTATAAACATTCTTTTGAGATTCTGGTCTGCATTGACATGATTGCACCATGCAGTTCATCATGTTGCGAAGCTCCCATTCTATTGGATTCAGATCTGGTGACTGAAAAAGCCGCTGAAGAACGTTGAGGTCATTGTCATATTCAGTTTGAGACGACTTTTGCTTTGTGACATGCTGCATCATCATGCTGGTAGTAGCCATTAGAACATGATACATTGTGGTAATGAAGGGATGGACATCAGCAACAGTTCCCAAATAGGCTGTGGCATTCAAGCAATGACTGGTGTTAACAGGTCCAAAATGTTCCCTCACCATTACACCACCTCCGTCAGCCTGGACTGTTGACACAAGGCAGGTTGGGTTTTTGGATTTATGCTGTTGGCGCCAAGTTCTGACCCTACCATCTGTGTACCTTATCAGAAGTCGAGATTCAATAGACCAGGCTTAAACTGTCCAGTTTTGGTGAGCCTGTGTCCACTGAAGCCACAGCTTTCTGTTGTTGGCTGACAGAAGTGGAAGCCTTCCTGTCAGCTTGAACCAGTCTGGCCGTTCTCCGTTAACCTCTCTCATCAACAAGGAGTTTCCTTTTGCAAAACTACTGCTTACTGTATGTTTTTTTATTATTATTATTATTATAATTATTGCACTGTTCAGAGTAACTCTAGTGACTGTTGTACGTGAAAATCCCAGAACATCAGCAGTTATAAAATTCTCAAACCAGCACCAGCAATCATGGTACAGTCAAAATCACTGAGAACACATTTTTTCCCTCTTCTGATGGTTGATGTGAACAGTACCTAAAGCTGCTGCCTGTATCTGCATGATTTTATTCACTACTGCCACATGATTGGCTGGTAAGATAATGAATGAGTAGCTGTACAGGTGCTCCTAATAAAGTGCTCAGTGAGTGTATGTGTATAGGAAATATTAAATATATTGCATATATATAGGCAATATAACTTAAGTATATGTGTAATTTTATGTTTGTGTATATATTTTTAATTTTAGATAGTTGATCTTGCCAAGACAATCATTTTTTTGCAGTTCAGAACTCACTATCTGTATATTTGACTGTGTTTGGCTATGAATAAATCAATTTTCTTTCTCTCTCAGTTCCAGGGTTTCCATACCCTACTGCAGCGGCGGCGGCAGCTGCCACTACAGCCGCCACCTTCAGGGGTGCTCACCTGCGGGGTCGCGGGCGGCCTGTTTATGGTGCTGTACGTGCAGCTGTCCCGCAGCCGGCCATTCCAGCATACCCAGGGTAAGATACATACATACAAACGTGCATAAAAACATATTTTTTTATATATACACACACATTCACATCTTGTAGGATTTATATTTCCATATTTAGTTGTGAAAGGCCACTGTGCTGTACGGTTTCTCTGTTATAACACAGCTCATTTAATTTCTGAGTTAGCTGCATTATGTTTGGTAAAGCTAGGAAAATACTGTTAAATACAAAAATGTATATTATTTTTAGCATTATTATGAAATATTTCTATTACTGTTACATATTGTTATTACATCTTAAATTTAAGATTTAGCTTTAGACTCGCTGAGACAATTTATTTAAAAACGCTATTGCAGCATTTAAATAGCACACAGCAGTTTTAGTTTATTCCCTGAATCAAACTCATGATAATTGCAAGTTTGTACAAGTGAAATGTATTTTAAGAAATACGTAATTAGTGGTTCACACATATTTGCACCATCGTCATATTTCTGCATGTTGCATGTGTCATTTTCGGTGTGCTGTGCTTTTAAAGATTCAAACCAAATTGGTGAATGTACGTGTGATTTGACCTAGTCACGTAAGAAATACCAAAAATGCCATTTTCATGCACATTTTTTAGGTTTTTAATCCCAGAAATATTGTAGCAAAGCACTGTTTTACTACTGTAGTGCCATAGAACCACAGATTAAGCCCTAAGGAGTAAAAGCTGTCATTTAGAAGAATCTCTTTTGTAATGAACTATGAACTACTATAATCTGATGAAAGTGGCATTTTTTTTATTGTGCACTGCATGTGTGTGTACTAATTTCCTCACGTCTTCTTCTCTTTCTCCCACCCTGTTGTTCTTTTCCTCTGTTCATCATTCACGCGTCTCCTGCCTCTCCACACATGCCCACTCGGTGGCGCTCTTTCCTTGCGTTTGCTTTTTTTTTTCTCCCCTTGCTCTTTTCATCCTTTCTTCACCCATTTCCTGTCTTCCTCCCTTTCCTTCTTCTCTCTTTTCTCTTTCCTTTCGCTATGCCTCTCTCTCTGTCTCTCTCTCTCTCTCTCTCTCTCTCTCTCTCTCTCTCTCTCTCTCTCTCTCTCTCTCTCTCTCTCTCTCTCCCTCTCCCTCTCCCTCTCCCTCTGTTTCTTTCTCTCTCTCCCAGCGTGGTGTACCAGGATGGTTTCTATGGGCCTGCTGACCTCTATGTAAGTATCGTTCCCACTCTCTTCTCTCTTTCTCCCCATCTTCCTCTTTTTTTTCTCCTTCACTCTGAGTCAGAGTGGTTTGCAGGATGTGTGACAGTGAGCAGCATGGAGTCGTCTCATTCTGAGTCACGCAAAATCAACAATCTTTCCTATAAAGAGTAACTTTAATACTGCAGTAACGGTGTGAAAACTACACGCCAGTTCAATTACTAAGGAAGTTTTCATGCCATTATATCCGTTACAAATTATAATCAATGCAAATCTGTGGATTTATAAAAATGACCGTGCTTTTTTTAGGTTTATAGTTCATCACTGTCGTATCAAAACCTCATAGCATTTCATAGCGCGTTTATTTATTTATTTATTTATTTATTTTCATTAGGACTGAACTGATTTTTATTTATACTTTTTACTCAAAACTCACTTGAAGCCTAAATAAATGCACTGATATGAAACACAGTGCTCACTTCACACAGTGCACTTCAGACAAAACGCTCAGAGGAGCATACATTTCTAAAGAAAACATGTACTACGTACATGGTTTTCATAGCATATGGCCTGTTTTTATGGGTTTTATAGTAAGATCAGTTCAGGCATATTCCCAATAGGGTGAAGCAGTGTGGAGCATGAAACAAGAGTATGTGCAAATGCAGTAACAAATAGTTTGGATATGGTTAAGGAAGTAAATGGCTAACACCAGGGGTGCTATGAAGGTGTGGTGCCTTGCATGAATGACACAATACAAATTAGTTTCTTATTGATATAGTTTCACATATATGAATAGCAAACATGGTAAAAATGGGTAAAATTCTTAATGGCAACTTTCTATTGATGTTACATTTTTTAATACATACACATACACACATATATATATATATATATATATGTGTGTGTGTGTGTGTTAAAGTTGAAGGGGAATTCGACAGATTTTTCAGACAATCTCAGGCATCATATTTGTAATCTTTCGTTTATTTAATTAAGTTTCTCTACAACGGAGCGTTTCACATCAAACCACTCTGAATGACTTGGTTTAGATCTTAACCATTTAATCATGCAGAAATTTGGGTGGAATTT